TTGTTTTTCTATAATTATACAGTGGTTTATGCGAATAGAAGGGATACGTGACTGGTTAGTTTGATTTTGCCATGAGGCCCTCCAAGGGATAACTGTTGTGATGGCCACGGCGTATTCTGTCCTGTCCTGTGTCGGTACTCGGGGTCAAATGAGATACGTGCGCTATCAGATTTACATAATTTATGATATTACCGGGATCAGTAAAATGGTATAATTTAATTATATTGCTGAATTAAACAATTTTTGTTTGTTTTGACATGCAAGATTTAAATTAGTACTAATATGAATACACGGCCTCCTCTGGCGCGACGACTCAATATATAAAAAAAATCGCTCTTCGTTAGAAAGCTACGTGATCGCTTAATAATTTTTTTTTAAATCGTAATTTTTCAACAGTTCTTGTTTTCATATGATGTTGACTTGTAACAACCTTTGCTCTATAAAGAATTAGTTTTCGACTCCAGGTAGAATCGGAATAAGTATTGAAAACAGGGGAAAAATATTTTATTACGTTGTAAAATGACGCGTGCTGCCGATAACTACGGCTTCTGTCTCGGACAAAAGGAACTGATTAAAGAAAAGTTGTCTCAACATAAAAAGGGCCATTTACAAGTATGCTTAATCTCTGTAAAGTATTGAAAAAATATAATTATCAAGTATCTCAACACTTTCCATATCTGACACATATTGTACATGTACACGTAGTAGTTTTGTCATACAGTTTATTGTGTGCAATGGCTAATATGACTGACTAAGTTTTAGCGTATGGAGACAGTGAAAGTAGGGAAAAGGGGTATACATACATTTATATGCATGGTCTAGAAAAAATAATTGGCTAAAGACATTGTGTACAATGTAATAAATTAATTCATAAACGTTTTCTCTTTTTTATACGCGTGTAGTTTGTCATTGCATATATGCACTTTAGGTAAACATTTGAAAAGGGATATTCGTCTCGTCAATACTCCTTTTTTACAGAAAGGTTTAGCCCCGTACCATCTGTACCAGTCACATTCCGGTACTAAATTCAATATTTATTTATATATATCTACTTTATGTTTATGCCTATTATCATTGTTGACATTTAATTGTGAATGTATGTCGGGAGAAGGCTGTGATGAATTGTAAAAACTTGTGCCCCATCTGCCTTGTTCAATTTCATTGGCAACAAATATATGTTTAAAGCTAAATGAATTTAAATTCTGAATATTGGCAAGTTTGCAATTAACTTCTGATGATGAATAATTATTGTTCAATAAGTTTTAATACGGACTTAGAAATCATATTACTTGGTTTCATAGTGCGGTAAGAAGTTGCAGTTGCCTAACGGCCCCTCTCTTGGAGGCCCCTTTGGAAACCGTTTCATCTCGCTCACACCACTTGTGTTTACTGCCTAGTCAGGTGACGTTATCGGCGATATTTTTAGCAGGGCTTTCCCGAACAATTCAAGTGGTCAAACTGGACATTTGGAACGGACTATGAATATGGGGATAGCGAGGTAACATAAGTGGAAGTGCATACAATACATACATTCATTAAAAAAAATATGGCTCTTCACGTGATGTCTCTTTAACAATGATAAGTCACCAGCTAACCACCGAGTTCTAATAGATAGGAAACGCTCTTACAAAATATTAGAAAACAGGCTTAAGAGATAATATAAGAGATACGAAGGCGATATGTTAGAATTAGTCAGACGAAACAACCCTAGACAATTCTATAAAGAAAAACCCCTGTTTCTGCTGCTTCATCAAATATTGGCTTGGATGATTTCTTATCTAACTTAAAAAATCTTAATATCGGACAATCTGAAAGTACCGAAAATATTGTAGAAGAAAACTGTGAGGCTGATTATGAAGAGTTAGACAAAATTATAACAGAAGATGAAATTATAGTTGCAATCAGAAAATTAAAGAGAAACAAAAGCTGTGGTGAAGACAAAACCCTAAATGAGCTATTTTTAGATTGTAGAAATGAACTTTTACCATGTATAACTAAAATATTCAATAATGTCTTCAAATCCGAGTATTTTCCAGAAGCCTGGTCAAAAGCATGTGTTGTTCCAATACATAAAAAGGGAGATATTGATGACCCTAACAACTACAGAGGCATCTCATTATTAAGCTGTTTGGGTAAATTATTTACTGGAGTGTTAAATCAGAGACTTCTTAAATAGGATAATGAACATAATATAATTACCGATGCTCAATTTGGATTCAAACCTGGTTTTTCGACGGTAGATGCCATTTTCGCATTACAAACCTTAATTAATAAAACATTAAAAGCGAAAAAGAGACTATACTGTTGCTTTATAAATTACACAAAAGCATTCGATTTGATTGAAAGAAGTTTTTGTGGTCTAAACTCATTAAACATTAAAAATGTTGAAAATTATTCAGTCGCTTTATAAAAATGTAAAATCATATATAAAGTTTTAATGGTTTTTTATCAGAGTACTACCCAAACAAAATCGGTTTGTTCCAGGGAGAAATTCTGTCACCGATTCTATATAGCCTTTATGTAAATGATTGCGAAATGAAATTTATCACTGAAAATTGTTCATCTATTGAAATAGGTCTCTTAAACTTGTTTTACATATGTATGCCGATGACACTGTATTGATTGCGGAGACACCAGAAGCATTGCAGAAACTTTTAGATTCATTATATGTATATAACCTAGAATGGAAGTTAAAACACAATATCTCCAAAACCAATATTGTTATCTTTCGAAATGGGGGGAACATAAGAGATGCTGAAAAATGGATCTCAACCAGGAAGTCGATATAGTTAATTAATATAATTATTTGGGAATGTTGATGAATTTTAACGGAAAGTTCAATGTTACCCAGAAACATATTGCTAACCAGGGAAGAAGAACTTTATTTGCAATTAATTGTAAATTGAAGAAAAATAATTTTAATATTAGTACAAAATGTTCAGTGTTTGATACATATGTCAACAGCATACTCGAGTATGGAAGCGAGATATGGGGCTTTCATAAAGCTACTGATTTTGTATATTACGAGCTTGGTAGACAGTCACGTTACATAAATAGAAAGTTAAAAGTTATAAAATACTGGTTAAAATTAAAAGAATCCAAAAATTGTATATTTGCCACATGTTTAGAAGAGCGATTAATAATGAATGATGATTGGATAAACAATATTAAACAAGAACTAGATAAACTTGGATTATCTTACTTTTGGACTAGTGATACTATAAATGGTAATATGTACAAAGTAGTAGAACAACGATGTAAAGATTGTTACACCCAGGAAATGAGAGCAAGAATTATAAATGCTGCAAGAGGTGACCTATACACACATCTAATTGATCATTTTTGCATGCAATATTATTTACTGAAACCTATTGATAATATATATAAAAAAATCTATTGCCAGTATTGGATTGTCATCGCACCAGTTAAAAATCGAAATTGGCCGCTATCACAACATTGATAGGAGACGCAGAATATGTGAATGTTGCCAAAGTTATGAAGATGAGTTCCATTTTATACTGCAATGTCCATTTTATATAGAAATTAGAAAAAGGTATATTAAAAGGTATTATTATAAGTCACCTAGCATTTTCAAACTTGTGCAACTGTTAAGTATAAATAATGTTAAGGAACTAAATAATCTTGGAAAATATATTCATTTTGCCTTTAAGAAAAGAAAAACAAACTTTGACTAAAAGTGAATATTATCGTTATATACCTCACACATGTATTTCAGGTATATTTCGCATTCAAAGAAAAGCATGTCATCGCTGAAAACAAATTATTACTTCTGTTTGCCTGTATAAAATAAGTATTATTGCTGATGTTGTACAACATATATTTATTATTAAACTTAAGCAATAAGTGGTACATAAGTGGTAGATCACTGAAAAGTACTTATTACTTATACTTCTCTGTGTGTGTGTGGGTGTGTGTGAGTGTGTGTCTGTCTGTGTGTCTGTCTGTCTGTCTGTGTATGCGTTATACAGAAATATATATATGCTACTTTCTGTGTTCTGTATGCATGTCATGAGAGATCACTCACCAAATATGTATGTAATATTATGTATTATATTTATGTATACCTATGGGTCGTAAGGCCCCCGGAATAAACTTGAATTGAATTGTAATCCCACCCCACCCCCACCCCCCTTCTTTATTCTGTCACACATCATCCGTCAATACCATAACCCACCATTCCTTCATTTCTCCCACAAACACTGCCTCTCTCCACTTTCCTAATCCATCTTATACACACCAGTCGATTCTGTCAATATACACCTCCTCATACACTCTATAGCATTCCCATATTCCTGTTCTACAAGAGTAGCCATACAACACTTACCTGTACCTGATTCCGTTCTCATCTGACCTGGCTGTTGCGAGGACGTTAAATCCCAAACAAACAACTTAACCTGATCCTTCTCTTACACGACCGTCAGTTACTTCCCCTACATCTCACTCCATATACAACACGGACAACCACGTCCTCCTCCATCCTTCTCATATACAGTCGTCCCCCTCAACGTTTCGCACACATCCTGATAAACCCCTGTGTGTGTTTTGATAATATTTTGTTAAAATATACTAAACAGGGTTACATGTACCAATTTTGAATGAAACATGACGTGCATGATTAGCCTGTTTAAAGAATATTCAAACATATTATGGGGTTTCACTATGAAAAGGACGGTTTTAAAACTTCAAAAAATCAAATAATTGGGACTTTTAAAATGAAATTGAATGTTCTTTTATGTTGTTTTCTTTAGGGAATAAATACCATAAAACCACATAAAATCTTGAACTGTGCAAACATGGCGTCACCTTAACAATTCGAAAGATAAAGTCATCAATGGAGTTTCGAAATTGTCTTCTGATTCCAATCTTGTGGTTTCGTATTGGGTGTTCAGAATTGTAATAAACAGAAATCCAAAATGTCTTCCGTAAAAAGTAAGATAAATGATATGTCTGGTATAGCAGTGATGCTCATTTTATTTTAGGGAGTCCTCAGGTTACAGAAGAGAACACGTGCCCGCCAGAAACTTTCCCTCAGATAAAGGAATACAAATGTTGTGTTCGCTGTCAGAAATCGGAAAAAGGAATCGGTTATGGTAAGTATATAGGTTAGGGCTGGTGTTTTAATAAATCAAATCTTCGTGGATCACATTTTTCTTTTTATTGAGACACATTGTGACGTATCTGAAGCCATTGTACTCGTCAAGTTGAGAGTAAAATCTCTTGCAATGAGATACCTATCTAATATTGTGACGCCTACATATTTCGTTGGTCTTAAGCGGTTATTTTCAGACGTTGCAGTTGTTAATATATCAGAGCGAGAGCTGAAATGCATAAAAGATTTAACAAATATAGTTTTGTGTTTGTAAAACTGATTTAAAGCCAAACAAACCGGTGAGCTCATGTATTAAGAATGCGATGTTTAATTTACCCGAATAAACGTACATTTTATATATGTATTACAGATTCGGAAAACCCCCCAATAATAATGTTAAGTTGTAAACAACATTTATTCGTTGATCTAAATTGACAACTATTTTTTCAAGGGCATTATCAAGTATCGTTATTTCAATTACCGAACAAAAAGGAAAATATCGTCCAATGGTCTGGTAGGAACTGGGACCTATGTCAAGTTCAGATATATCGGTAAACTATGATTCTTGTGATACAGGAACAAAACCTTTTACCGTTTTTGATGACGAACAACTTACATTTTCATACGAATCTATTACAGTACCATTCTAATGACTTTCAACGTCATAATGGGATCGAACGTTATTTTCTTTATTTTCATGCCGGTATGACCGTTTAAAATTTGGCGCCAATATTAACAGTAGTCATTTGAGCGTTTGACGCAGGGGTATTCTCCATGTAATTCGAAGCGAAGCGACAAGACTCTCACTGAACAAGGTTAATCTATGACGTCATAAGTAAACCAAGTGTTTCGTCACGAGAGGTTTTGCTTTTATACTGGTAACGTTTATATAGTGGATTGCAGCGCAAATGTTAATATAAATGTATATCATTTAGATACATCCTAAGCATTTTTATCTTTTTATATGTTTTCAAACAATCTCGATAATTAAAATATTTAGATGTTTGTATTTTATGATCATGTACAGTTTATTATTGTATTTGTTTTAGAAGTCAACAACTGTACGGAGACCATCTATTGCTCAAATTCTGGATGGGAATCGGACCGATATATAACTCTGTATCTGTCCAACGCTAACCTAGCAGTTCTACCTGAAAATGTGTTCCGTGGTCTGTCTGAACTGAAACAACTTGACCTGTCCAACAATATAATAACAGTTCTACCCGACAATGTGTTCAATAGACTGTCTGATCTTCGTAGACTTGATCTGTCCAACAATAAGATAGCTGTTCTGCCCGGCATTGTGTTCAAAGGACTGTCTAAACTGTCTAGACTTGATCTGTACAACAATAAGATAGCTGTTCTACCCGACAATATGTTCAATGGACTGTCTGACCTTGCAAGTCTTGTTCTGTTCAATAATCAGATAGCTGTTCTACCCGACAATGTGTTCAAAGGACTGTCTAAACTGTATAGACTTGATCTGTCCAACAATAAGATAGCTGTTCTACCCGACAATATGTTCAATGGACTGTCTGACCTTGCAAGTCTTGTTCTGTTCAATAATCAGATAGCTGTTCTACCCGACAATGTGTTCAATAGACTGTCTTACCTTGGTATACTTGCTCTGTCCAACAATAAGATAGCTGTTCTACCCGACAATGTGTTCAATGGACTGTCTGAACTTGATGTTCTTGTTCTGTCCAACAATCAGATAGCTGTTCTACCCGACAATGTGTTCAATGGACTGTCTAAACTTTATGGACTTTACCTGTCCAACAATAAGATAGCTGTTCTACCCGACAATGTGTTTGATGGACTGCGTATCCTTGAACATCTTGATCTGTCTAACAATAAAATAACAGATCAAAAGATATTTTTAAAGGTTTAGATAATCTTAGCAGGTTATATACTGATGTACCCTTCCTATGTTGTGTCAAGCCGAGCTCGGTCGCTGACAATCATTGTTATGAAACAGATACACCATTAATTGATTGCTGGTGGTCTGGGTGTTCAAACACCAAAGGTGATGCGATTTCATCTTGTTCTGCTTTGGTGAGTTCGGAAGTACTTCGAGTGTTTCTTTGGATAATTGGAATAAGTGCTTTTATGGGAAACCTGCTGGTTCTATTTTATCGACTTTTCCTCGACAGTGATAATATGACAAGGAGTTATTCTTTTTTTGTATTTAACTTGGCCCTATCCGATTTACTAATGGACGTCTACCTTATCATAATAGGAGTTGTTGATATATATTACAACGGTGTTTATGCATGGAATGATCAGATTTGGCGAAAAAGCATCTTATGTACTTTAGCTGGTGTTTTATCTAGTGTATCAAGTGAGATGTCGACGTTTCTTATTCTACTGGTAACAATAGACAGAGTAATTGCCATAGTGTTCCCGCTTTCTCGTCTTTCTAGTTGGAACATATCATGGAAACATGCTTTAATTTTCTCAGTTCTCTCGTGGATTGTTTCTATCACACTTGCAATAATCCCTATTGTTACAATACAGTCCTACTTCCAAGGGGAATTTTATTCTCAGTCAGGTGTGTGTCTCGCTCTTCCTTTGACAAGAGAAGAGTGGCCAGGAACGGAATATTCCTTCGCAGTATTTGTTTGTCTGAACAGCATCGTCTTTGTAATAATAGTCATAGGCCAAATCTGCATTTGCAAAAGCATGAGAGAAAGTGGTCGCCGTATTAGCTCCTCGCAGAACCGTCAACGAGAGATGACTGTAGCAATTACTCTATTCTTTGTTGTGGCCACAGACTTTTTCTGCTGGTTTCCGATTGGTGTCATGGGTAAGTTTTCCTATTCTTATTTCTTCATGTATCATAATATTAAACATAATACAAGGTATGCATGTATTTGATTCTAATTTCATGCTGAATTGGTTTCTTCATTTTTCGATTTCCATTAATATATTTTGTACGTATAACAAATTGTTCTTTAACGTGAGTATTTATAGATTCCTGTGTATAAATAGCCAACTTCATGAAGCAATTTTAACCAAAATATCATTGGTATACCATTTTATAACAGATAAAAATGTAGTTAACGAGCATACGTCATTCAGTTTAAAATGCCATTTTTATCGTTTATTGTCAATAGCCCTAACAAATAGACTATTAGATTTTTCTCATATTTTTTTTAGATCGGGAGTGTTAGCATATTGCAGAAACAATTTCATAATTTACATTAAGAGCACGTGATCTGTTCCAGGTGTATTAGCAAAATGTGGAGTACGAATCCCCGATGACGTGTATGCATGGGTGATGGTGTTCGTACTGCCTGTGAACGCCGCTATCAATCCGTTTCTGTACACTGCTACAGCTATTTGGAGGAAAAGACGGAAGGTGGGTTCAGATTGATTTCAAAGTACTTCTAACGATACCATTGCTTATTTGACAAGACTTTACAATGAATGACCAAGAGTTATGTTACAGCGTACATAAGTAAGTAATTCTATGCTATATTTTCGGATATTTAGATTTAAACAAAAAAATAAAAAAACGAACACTTAAAGGGTTTCAGACACGATTACTGTTAATTTTGTATTTGCCGCTAATCCGATGTACTAACACCTATCTTTCCCGAGACTACGGGACGTATGACATACAACGTATGCGCACTACTGTGTCGGGCCAGTAAATATGCTTATTTTGTGTGCGGTAATGAGCCTAGTTGACCAGTAATGTCACAAGTGGCCATTATAAGTACATGGCGAGTTTAGGCGTGTGCAAAATCTGAAAGCATTCCTTGTTCTTTTCTATACGAGAACAGTTTGAAAAACGAGTAAGAACGTATGGAGGCACTTATAATCAATCACTTACACAATGACTGTTTTATATGAATATTGATTTAATCACGAAGTACCATATACGTTACTCGGTCCACTTTTGAATTAAAAAAAAATCCTTCAATATGTTCGATACCTATTCAATGTGTACGGTCGTATGACGTTTCATGAACTACTGTACAAAAATACTTTCAAAGCTAAGAAATGAGCTCTACAAACTCTGTACTACATCATTGTTTAATGGGAGTATTATGCTATATTAAATAAGCTAAAGATCGACTGTTTGTGTGTTGTTGTTTTTTAAAGATTTATTGCTTAATGATTTCGATTTGGATTTGTTTGTGAAGGTAACGATGATGATACCGAAAGATCCGCCAGCAGATAAACATCATCGGTAAACAAAGTCCATCAGTGAGAAACAGCCTGCTATGTCCACCGCTGTTTATACAGTTTCAGTCGGTAGATAATCAACTTCAGAACACAAACAGTGTCTGCCAGTAGATAATCAAACTCAGAGCAAACAAAAGAGTGAATCAGTTTGAGATGCAGGTAGTGTAAGTCAGCAACGGAATACAGACAAAAGGACATCATGTCACATTTGTATAATACATATTGACTATTATTTAACCTATCTGATTGCTTTAATTTGCTCGTTGATGAAAATGAAGCACTATGATTTGTGAAAAATTGATTTTGTTCTTTTAATCTTAACTACATATGTAAATAAATATGCACTTGAAGAAAGTGATGACTGTCTTTTGAATTTTCAATTATAAGGAACAACCAAGATTATTTGGAGGCATATACAGTAAATCCTTTTTGCATAAATCCCAGAAATGGTTTATGGAAAAGAGTGCACATTTTTCATTTTCTTTGTATAAAACTATGCATGTTACATGGATTCGTGAAGGGTGTTATGAACAATGGTGTACACAGTTCTCTTGGTAAGTATTGTATACGCCTCAAAATAATCTTGGTCATTCCTTAATGTTTTGTAAAACGGATGCATACAAAAATACAGAAGTCATCGAGTTCCCATTGCTGCTTGTCAAACATGCATAAAACTTTATTAGTTCTCGCACCCATACAGGAACACACAACATTATTCTTCACGATATATGTTTCAATCTTGCCAGATCTATTTTCTCTTGAAGTTATATTTTGGCCTAATTTGACATGGTGGTATATTCATCATTTTAGATACTCTATTTTGTAATTAAATGTATTGTTTTGGTGATATTTAATTCACTAATTATATGTTTGATATTATCTTCACCGTGAAACATGTTTTATTCTCTTTTTCGAACAAAGTTCATTGTGTATGAGATAGCATTAAACCAGAGACGTATAATACGTCTCTGATTAAACGTAGCTTAAGTGATGCAGAGGTCATATAAAAATGAGGTCACAGAAGTGATACTTGAAAAATATGACGAAAATAAAGTTTCTTTTTTGAATGACATTAATGTAGTGAGGTGCATGAACAAAAATAATCACATTTTTTTTTATCTGAGCAAGATCAGGTTATCTTACTCTCCGGAAAAAAATGTGTATCATGCTAACCTCGACTTGAGACTCGTTGGGATCGTGTTACAGAATCGTACCTCTCGAGTACCTGATACTGCTCAGTTACATGTTACAGATTATATTCATCCAGTCAAAGTACTTAGAAAATACCAGTTATAACCATAATAGCAGCACAAGTCAGATTTTTTTCACGATGACGAATGTCTGTATTATATCAAATTTTAAAGGTAAATCTATCAAAAATCTTCACAAAAGAACAATCATACCACTTGTAATGAAGAAAATAAGGAACAAAACTGAAGATTTATAGAAGTTCCTCAAAAAGTGAAGGTTGGTTATTATGTTTATCAAACAATTTCAAACTGTATGAGGATACAAAGTTTACCGAGTGTCTTTTAAAATTTGAATACTTAGTAATGAGAGTGAGACAAACTCAGTTATTACTATCGCGAGTTTGGGTGCCTTTTTCTCCTATTACCTTCGTATTTTATTTGGAAACCCACATTTTTCCATTGGAAAGTACCTAATTATTGTTTCCGATGGGGGAAACAATTGCTAGGTATAATAACGTCACGACTTCGCAAAGCCCTGTTACGGGACGTCAAAAATAAAAGGTTGATCAACAAAATCACGTATCCAATGAGGTGTAAGTGAGGGTACCTAGTGTTGTGGGAGATATTTAACAAACTTCATGTATGGTGTGCAATATCTTGCTCAAAAAGTCACCAACATATTTTGCTATTTATTGAAATTAACTAATTTATCTTTTAAAAGGCAACAAAGGTCAACAATATATAATTGAGAATACTTTGAAACTATGTTAATTATCATATATTTCTCAATGAAATAAACACGAGTCTTATCCTTAAACTTGTAATTTCTCATAATCATTCTTACAAAAGATAGAGACATAACATTTAAACGTTGGCCAAGCATATCATATTTTTATCTTTTTCTTGACCCCAAAGAGAACAAAAAAAGAACATTTTAAGTTAGAATTATTAGAAAGAAAATGGCTTCATTATTTTTTTTTCTAGTTTGAGTTAAGGTATTAAAATAAACTCAAATACAGGGAGTGGCACGTATAAAAGTTCGTTTATGTGTATATTTTGTGTTATATTTTTAATGCATTTCATGTAATTTGAGAAGTATAGCTTATCTTTTCAAATCAACATCAGCTGATGTAAAAAAAAAATAGTTTCTTGATCATGCAAAATGATGACAAAAGTTTGAACAATAATAACAAATAATAACACTGCATTGGATTTTTACAGTTTCTGATACAACTTATAACTATCATCATAAATAATGATAGTGGATTTTATATCAACTTAATTGTAAGGGGATGCGACAGTTTCAGAGTAATTTTCCGTTGAATATTTGTTTTACACATAAATGTTGAAGTTTGTTTATTTTCTAGTTTAATCAAACAACATAATATACGCTTCATTATCATCAATATCTAAGCAATCTACTGAGAGACCCCAACCAATTGTGATGAGAAGTTTTGACTTCAAACGTTATTGCTGTGGGTTTGGTTAATTAATTTGTGACTATACTAAAGGATCAGACAAAGTTTGTTCAATTCCAACACATGTACCAACACAATAACGCAAAGTCCTTTGAGCGATCGGTGCTATCTGTCGTTATAATATCATTATTGTTTGCCGATTCCATTAGAACGCATACCACAAACTTCGAGAGAGTCTTGGTATTGAAACTTGTTTTTTTCTGTTGTAAACTTCCAATGGTTACTTGTGTCACGGATTGCGTTAACACGACAAAGCTTGACAAAATGACTGACATCGAAAGTGGTCAGCGCAATGAAACAGTAAAACATGTCGTCACTAAAGTCACAGTCACTGGTGAAAAGTTTTCACGAAGGAACAGTGTTCGCGTGGAATTGTGTGACAGAAGAATATTTCGCAAGATCAAGAAAAGTCTGCCGGGATCAAAAGGCAGAGTTAAGAGCAGCGACAAGGACAGCCGAGACTGAACTAAGAAGACTCACGACATTTACAAATCAAAACTATAGAAATTGGCATGTGTTACAAAGAAATATATATTATATATCATCAACATATAAGGACGGTTGAGAGGGATACATAGGTAACATGCCCCATTTAACCAACAGCGAAGACCATTCCAAAAATCTTTTTTATTTATTTATTTATTTTATTTTTTATTTTATTTTTTATTTTTCCTGATAACTATTTATTATTTGTCAGAGTAGGACCGTATTGAAGATCATTCATTATTAACAAATTTTTACAAAACATACATATTTCTATGAACACCTCTTTGCAACATATAAGTTTAGGTTGTTATACAATAATTTGGATGCCTTTCTTAAGGGATATACCGTCAAAAGCAATATTTCAGTTATTGAATGTACGTGTTTTGTGCGCTGCATATTCTGTTTCCTTGTTATCTAATATTGCAAATCCATTCCAAGTGTTCAATTTGTGCGGGAAAGCCCCATCAAATACAGCACCGATAACGTCATGTGACGATTTCGAAACAAGGCAGAATCATTTATAAACACAATCAGTGACAAATGGGCCCCACGAGAGGGGAATGTATTTGGACATTTTCTTGTCCCATTTTGAAACCAAGGAATAAGCTTTATGTAACTCTGTGTTGAAACTGATTGAATCACACATACAGTAAATATTTATCATCATAAGTTAGTTGTACACATTCCAATATTCAAATGAACAAATCATGTTCGAATGGGATAAGAACTGGTCAAATTGGCACGAGGATACCCTTCTTTTTTCAAACATACACGACCACGGGACACACTTTTCATCACTCTTCTAACACTGTAACAGTGTCATCATACACAAACATACATGGACAATTCAAAAACGTGTACAAGTACATTGTGTCAAATAGTGAATGTGGATTATGTATCATATGTTTTTTATGACGATATAACATTTTCATTGCGATTATCTATCCTCTTGTAACGGTACATTGACTTTTGTAACAAAACTGAAGGGATGGGACATACTTAAAAAAAATCAAATATATTTTTCTTTTGAATACTTATTCACAACATTAACACCACTGCGCTCGATTCCACGTCAGCTATATTTAACTTCCTACCGGCTATCCAGAGGAATACGTGTAACGTTCCGCTTGCTAGTGCATTTTATAAAACTTCCCACCAGCAATTATTATTCCATAACGTTATCCCTGCAATATGTTTTGACCATATTTCAACTCTTCGCTTCGTAGCTGACCCGGTAACAGTTTTAACACACTTACACTCCCACTGCAGGCCATTTTGTTTACAATGAAATGGTGTTAAATGGGCATACGTTATCAGAATAACACAAACTAAATACCGTACAAATTGTTGGCTAGACAGGTGACTGAATCCCATCTTCTTTAAGTTATTATACAATTTTATGAAAACGTATCAGCGAAATCGGACTGTCATTTTCTATTCTGAGACTCACTTGATATATGCATGCAGTATTTGAAAAAAAATCATTTAAAAAACATTTCTCCGTGATGTCCATTTAAAATATTGTAAACATATGTCAAACACTATCCTCGTTGATGCTCGTAAGGTAATGAGACTCTTGAATGGGTAGTCCAGGGAGAGTGTTGTGTTTTCATATGAAAGGCTGTCGGTTCAAATTGATACAGTGGAGATGTTTGACCTTTAAAAAAACATCTGATAAAGCATTTGGAACATCATTTATTCTCAAACCAAATGTCGTTGGAATTTAGTTTCTGTTTAGTTGATAGAATCGGACATGTCTGACTTTCAAAAAAATGTAACACCTTCGTACAAGAGACAGGAATACAACGTCGTCTTAATAAAAACCAAGTATCTTACAGAAGTCAAGGATTGTAGCAATTTGAATGTCTCGTCTATCAAGCATGTTGTAAAACAAGAACTGGATGTTCTTTGATAATTTTGGAGAAGACAAAGCTAAAACGTTAGGGCCAGAACTGCCCAATTTACAATCTGCCACTGCATCAGCGTACATCAGATTCACAATCTGGAGAAATAATCCATAGTTTTGCAACGCTTACATGTATTCTGCATAAACTTTTTTAGGTAAAACGTTTTGATATATACTAATTGAAGGACAAACATCTACATAAAAAATCACTGCTGAGAATGAGGTAGGCCTACTGCTTCCTGCTACTGTACACATTAGAACGCCCTTAGATAATCAA